CCACCGAATTTATGGTCACAGATTATTTCTCCACCACTAATTAAAATTTTTTATAGGTCACAGAATGGAAAAAATAAAATTTTTGTTGGTCACAACTCTGTTATAGTAAGTCACAATCACAATTTTTTGGTCACAGACACCCACCCAAACAACCAACAACAGATCCGCCCCAACAGACACGCCACCAACAACGGCAAACAACATCCACCAACAGTAGCAACCACCAACAGCCACCAATAGCAGCAACTACCAACAGCAGCCACACCCACCGATCCACCACACACCCACGGATCAGCCGCCATTCAGATTCACACACTCACCCAGCCACACCCACAGGAATGGAAGTAATGACACACCCACACACCCAGCCACAGAACCGCACACCCACTGATTGGATCTTCGAACGACACCATCCCACCGTCCACCACTTCGAGCGCCAGCGTCGCCGGCGAGGGAAAGGGTAGAAGACAGCGACGGAGAGGAGAGAAACACGTTGAGTCCCACCGTCTGGATCTTCGAGCGACACCGTCCCACTGACTGGATCTTCTACCCCAGAGTCACCGGCGAGGAAAAAGGGCAGATAGAGAGAGAGAAGAAAGGTGAAGACGAGAGAGGGAGCGTGAAAGGGAAGAAGGCCGACGGCTGTCACGGCTGAGAGGGAGAGTGAAGAAGATAGAGGGAGCGTCGTCGTCGGCGGCAGTGGACTGCAGCGTCGGCGGCGGTTTTTTGTGAGAAACGGGAGAGAGAATGGGTAGGAGGGAAGAGAATGGGAGAGTAGTTGGAATGAATTCTAGGGTTGATTTGGGTTTTTTAATTGGATGAAAAATATATAATTAATATTAAATTAAATATAAGAAACCTGATTTTCGAAAATTTAAACTTGGGACGGAATTTATGAAAATAGAAATCTAAAACTAGGGTGGGGTGAAATTTCCTCTTAAATTAACTCCCCTAACAATAGGCCTAAAAGCCCAAATCTTCATTTAGTTTTGGGCCTTCTTTTGACGTTTAAGTGGACGACGAGGTCGAAGCAAGCAAGCAAGCAAGCACAGAAGAATGAGCAGAGCAGGAACGCCTGATTTTTTCTACAGAGAAGCTCAGCGCCTTGGTTATGTTGCCCGCTCTGCGTTCAAGGTCTTTCTTCTCATCTTTCCTTGTTATACTAACGTTTCGATACACACAATAGAAATAACTATGTGAATTTGAAAAAAATCAGTATATGGGGCATTGATATATATTCATTATTTCTTGGAATTGAGGAAGAGCAGTTGATTCAGATTCAGAAGCAGTACAAACTAATAACCTCTGGCTCGTCTGTTCTTGATCTTGGTTGTTCTCCTGGCGCTTGGCTTCAGGTATTCAGTATTGTTACGTCGTCTTTCTCTCTGTGTATTTAGTGGCTTTATGATCAGAGAAAAATCCTGCTTTTTTTTTCTTCTCTCTCTCTCTCTCTCTCTCTCTTAATATTGGATATATGATTCTGGTACTGTGGTACATGGTTTTCTTAATACAGGTGGCTTGCCAGAGCTTGGGTCCATTGAAGAATGGTGGAGCAGTTGTGGGGATTGACATTAAGGTAGTTCGCCTTATATGATAATGTAGGATGATTACAAGAGAGGTAGTGTGTAGGATGATTACAGGAGAGGTAGTGTGAGACCGTGATTGGTCGGTAGTAAGTTTTGAACATAATAGGTTTCGTGTGTTATAATTATCTCCTTTTAAAGTTTGTGGTGTGCTGCAGAGCAGAAGGTGAAGGTTCCGTCTATGCACTGTGACGTTCGTGTCCAAACTGTTTGTGCTGATGTCATGAACCTGGAAAGGGATCAAGTCATAGAACTGTCTCCGCAGGTATTTAAATTGATGCCTATTTGCATATACATTCAATGAATTGCTGTGTTCTTCTTTTTCTATTTTCATGATAAAGAGAGCTAATTTTTATTCGGTTTTCAAGACTACATGGATTGGTTGCTACTTTATTCTAGTAAATGTTGAGTTCTCATTGTGTATTCCAATTTGATTTCATCGTTGGCCTTGGTCTTGCTGCTTAATACTTGATGAGAACACCTCTTTATTGGATTGGTGATGGATGATGGAAGCTTTATTTCATCATAGCATAATATTTTGGCACTGGTACACCCTTATTAGGTTCAATCTTTATGTACTTCAGCAGGCTTCTTTTTGTAACTTATCTCTTTTTCTTTTATATCAAGTGAGTTTGTTTTGATAGTATGGGAAGTTACTTTCCAACTGCATCAAATATTACTACGATTAATTTATGTCGAATGCTATCAATAATAAACATATATAATTGCTAAGTTGATCATCAAAACACGTTTCTGGCCTTGTCATCGTGCCTGCTTGAACAAACCCCAGTAGTGTTTTCTTGTCTTATATAGACGCTTCACATGCAGACTCCTTTTTCTGCTCCTACCCTTTATTATCTCAGTATGACTCATATCTACATCACTTTGTTTAATCTCAACTTGAGATATATGTAAATGAAAAGAGAGAACAGATCCCTTTTACCCAGAATCCTTTTTTTTTTTGATGGATTTACTATATGGTGAAAAGTAGAGCTCTAAAGGATTGTATTAATGAGGATATTACAAGATTTAAATTAAGGTTTGAATAAGTTATAAATTCTACTGGGTCCAAACAAAAACCCAAATTTAGTATTTCTTCAATTTCATCCATGCCTAGGCTCAACAATAGATTTCTTAAACAACCTTAACTATAGTGGTGAACCATGTACGCATATCCATGACTTTAATTTGTTTCTCTCTCTCTCTCTCTCTCTCATTTTTTTTAAAATTTAATTTAATTTAATTTTTTACTTTGTTCCATGAAAATAGGAGATTTGGTATCGATGTTTTAAATTGTGCTCATGTCCATCTTCATGAGTTCCCAACTGTGCATCATCACTAGTTGTGTTATTTTTGGCATGTCTTTGAATACTATGAATTTGTCTGATTTTTAAGCATCATAGAGCTCTCAAGCTGGATAGTTTTTCAGTATAGTAGCATACCTTGGCAGTTCGTCAATCAAAGATGATATGTAGCTGCTAGATTTCTTATAATGTTTGACATTTCATGAGATGCCACCAATTATCTCATGAGCTTCTCATTTCTTTCAAAGTTGATGGTTTTTCCTTGTTTAGTGTTCCTAGACATACTGTCCAGGTAACCCTTATATTTAAAACAATCGCATCGTCCTTTGTATAACAGATCTTCCATTCCTCCCATTAACGCTATTTTGTCTTTGAGGCTTGATAGGTTTCAAGGCCCCTCTTATTTGAGCAGACTTTCTACATCCGGGTTCAACTCTTATAGGATGGTGAGCCTCAAAGGCCTCATCCTTCCTCAACAAGATACTAGCCTTCACATTTTAGTCAGTTTCACGGTTCAGTTTTTTCACCCTTTCTCAATGTGGCCACAATGTTTTTGGAAGCTGTAGATTTTTTTCATCAATATCAAGTTACCACAATACAATTACTTCACAATTTTCAGTTGAAGAAACGGTAATCATGTCAAGTTACGTATTTAAAAATTAAAACTTAGTTTGCGCCCAATCTTTTCATGTATACCGATTTTCTAGCCATCATTACTATGGTGAACTTTATGTTTTAAGTGAGATTATCAGTAGATTTTGTCAATCTTAAATCCTAGTGAAAATAATATATGCATGTAATAAGTTAGATTCTTGTGCATAATACATGAACACATCTTGCTTAACAAAGATGTGTTCATCATTTAGTATTTTAGTATTTTTTATGGAAAATTAACCACGGGAATTATCTTATTATTTGGCCAACAACCCGTGATTGATGAAACTAGCATTGATCATTTTTTTGATGAAGTGCCTTCTTAAATTATCCTTCTCATTTCTATATCGTGGATCAGAGAGTTTAAAATCTCCTAATTCCTAGAACCCTAGGAGCTCAGAAAATTAATGTTTTCATGATTGAAGATTGTAGAATTTTCTAGGAAAGAATTTAATCCCTTTATAAATAAAATTAGAGCTCTATATAGAACATATAAAGTTGACCACTGTCAATATTTATCATATCATCTTCCTCATCAATCAGTAGTGATGGTGCCTTTCCCTTATCTGTGAATTCAAGTAAAACGTTTGTTAATATAATTTCTAAAGAAATAAATAAATAACAGAAAACTTTATATTAACATTTATAAGAATACCTCTTTGTGAAAAAGTGCGTTTTTTGTTCGGTTGACTTTTTGTTTGTGAACTTAGAGAAGAATTTTCAACCCCTTCAACATCAAAAAGATTTACATTGGAATCATCATTAGTCAGATCAAGTATGCTTGACTGAACTTCAGGCGTTTGATCGGCAATCCATTCATCATCATATGGCAATTCCTCAACAGTTAAAGGATCATCATCCTCTTGGAGCGTCTTCAGTCGCGTATGTCGAGCCTTGAGCTTTTTATTATACAAGATATAGACTAAAGTGTTCAACCTCGTTGTGGTCAAGCGATATCTTCTTTTGGTATGTACTTTATTGACTGTACAACAATTACGTTCACAATCAGAAGATGAACAAGTTAGACTTAAAACT